CGGTGCAAAGCGGTGAAGCTGGTGAGAGGCGGTGAAGGTTGACGGGAGCAGCGCAAGTGCCACGGTACTCTGCAGCCACGGAACCAAGGCATGTGGCAGCCACGATAATCGACTGATCTGGTCAGGAGTACAAGACGAAAAGGCAAACAGCGCGCAGAACCGGGGACTAGAAGAAGTGCAAACAGGACAAGCGCTGACTTTCAACTGAACTTTTCGTCAGTATGAACCAACTAACCCACATCGCCACCCTTATTCAGTACAAGACCCTGGTCCTGTATTACCACAGTCGGCAATCCTACTATTTTGCAAAGTTTTCTCGGGACTCTTACTGGCATCGATGACATCGTCAGGAAATTTAAGCGATGTTGCCGATCAACCAGCCAGAGCGGTGGACGTCCAGCGTCAACGGTTATGGCCGATTGATTCTTAGCATCAAATCGCGACACCATGGCGATCGTCATCTTTTTGTACGTGTTTCTTCATCGACTCAACCAATCAAGTGCAGCGAATGTCCCACGACTCGCGCTTTTAGTATGTGGGTTTGTGGTCGGGGGATGGCTTAAAGGGAAGCTGAATCTAAATTTGTATTTTGCAAAATAAGGCAGCAGAGGTATTAAACGGGACGCTACGAACTCCAGAACATCGCTCATACATCGATATTTCAAACGGATGAGGATGACCGTATTTTTTTAACAAGAAGGGCGCGATCAAGCGAGGTCTATGACGTCACGACCCCCTGGAACAGTTGAGAATGAGGGAAGCGGACTCGCTTCAATACACCAGCACGACGAGGGGACGAGGCGAGAAAGAGAGGGAATGAGAATCGTGACGTCACATGTTTTGTCGGACTCATCGGCCGTGTTCCGTTGCGCACATCTTTTCTAAAAATACGACCATCCGTTAGAGTTATTACTGTACGAGTGAAAATTTTGATTTGGCAGCGTCCCGCCTATTGCTACAGCCTTGTTTTAAGAGTTCTCGGCGCTGATGGGGCGCAATTCCAAGCAAACATGGCCTTTTGGCGCAAGATGTAGCAGACTTTCGTTCATGGCGCAATTTGGCGCAGCACTGCCATCACGACCACGAATACGCGTGACTGTGATCATGTCGAATGATGTCAGGTTTCGAAATTCTCAAGCTAAAACACCCCAGGGAGAGCAAACTAATATTCCAGCAGTTTTGTTGTTGTGTATAGACCCCTTTCGAAAGACTGCCCTCTGCTGGCAGCTGTGGAATCTCTGCACAATGGCGGGCTAAAACCGCAACGTCACGGCACACTTCATGAGTTCGGTTGGATTACACGGCAAAAACACACCCAGACAAAGGTGATGAGCGCAGTGGCGTCGCACTTTCGACGCTGTTTGTCTCGTCGTTCGCTATCTAATGGAATGACTTGCACGCTCCACGATGCCAGCTGTTCCGCCGTCGTGCAGTGGTTCCGACCTTCTAATAATCGGCAGGTTACTTGCGAAAGGGGTCGAATGCGGAGTGCAAGTTCGTCTGCTTCCTGCACAGGGGCAGCGGCGACGCCCGGAAGCCAAGCTTTGATTGGCTCCGACCACAAGGCCATGCATCTAGTATTGAGGTCTACCCCACTACCTTCCAATCAGAGCTCAGCGTTCTGACGTCACCGCAACCCCTGCGCAAAAGCAGACAAACTTGCGTTGCGTATAGCAACTCAGGCCGGGTTTACTACGGTTGATCGAATGCCATTTCATCGAAGCACGTTTTAGAGAATGGGCAGGTTTTATCGAAGCACGGTTTAGAGAAAGCAGAGCCTCAGTTCAGAGAAACGCCGTTTATCGAAAAGAAGACGTTTCTTTCTTTTTTTTTTTTTTTTTTAAGGCTTTCCTACTTGTCGCGTTTATCACTGGTGCGCGTGTTAAGTCATGCCCCCCGCTGCGCTCCCGCCGCGAGTCTGCGGCGGCTCATTATAAAAATGTTAACTCACCTGATTTACCCGTACACGCCGCTTCGCGGCGGTCGAATTCGCTAAAAGGAGGCTCAACGCCACTTTCTCTAAACTGGGTTCTCTATAAAGGGATTCGATAACCCGGGGTCGGTAAAACGGCGTTCGCTGAAACGAGCTTCTCTCAACCGCATGCCTCCGACTGATGAGGCCACAAAGGTTACAAAACACAAAGTAGCAAGGAACGAAGTATTAACTGCGCATGGCCAAACTTATGGACCAAGAGCCCTATGATGAGGACTTTTAAATGCAGATAGCCGTTCGCTCACATTATGAGGGCAAGAGAAACTAACTGTTCTAGCTGGTTGTTGAATCATCCCATGCGGTTTGAGCGTGTTCCGAGCGGGAAGACGAGAAAACTCCATACCATACTGAATGTGGCAATAACAGCAGATACCAAAATCGGGATTTACTTCGAAAATTTGGGCCGCGGTAGCCTGAAAGCAGTGTAGTAGTCGTTACCGAAAAGTAACGAAATACGTTATTTGTTACTTGCAAATAAAAGGAACTCGAGACCTATCTACGTTACATCAAAACAAAAGGAACTCGTTACCGTTAAATATTAACAAACGTTAGTTTTTATTTATAAATTGACCGCAACAGCGTTTTTCGACACAGGGAAAAAAGCCACGGGCGTTGGAGTTTTTTTCAAATGGGAGAAAAGACGAGCAAAATTTTGAAGGTATGTGGAATGAGGGCAATAATTAATTACTTAGCGCCTATACTTCGTTTCAGCGTACGTCGAGACGCATCCGACGGTACGAGCTAATGGGACCGACCAAGCAGAGTCAAAAACGCAAATCACTGACCTTTTTTTTTTTTTTTTAAAAAAAAAAAGGTTGGTTTGACGACGTTAGAACACGTAAAGAAACATGACGAACGCCATGATGGTGCCCTTTTGACGCCCTCCGATAGGTCCCATCAGTAAGGTGACCACCTTCCTGCTAGCGAAATCCGGGGGGTTGGGGGAGGGGAGGTGTAGGGGTAGAGGAAATTTATGAAGAGGCACACCACGAACCGAGGCTCTGTTAACACATTTTATATCCTGTGTTGTTTATATACTTGCACATTGTATTGCAACAATTAGGCTGAAATACTTTTCACTCCGTGATATATTTCTTCATGCCAAATATGTTATTAAATGTGTCGAAGTTGAAAGCATAAAAACCACCTGCAGCAGAACTCAATGCATCAAATGAAATTACGAAACAAATCTTTTTTCGGGTTGTTTCCTGTCGACGCTTACTTTTATCAACATTTCTTTTTCGACCGTTGAGAGCTAGATTCTGCACTTGTTTTCGCAAAAAAAAAAAAAAAAAAAAAAAATTACAGCGATTTTGTTTGTTTTGCATTGTTGACCTGTCAGTTGAAAGTTGCATTTTGCGTTGTGCAATTCTCCCAACAAAAAATAAAAAGAAAGAGAATTACAGCGATTTTTTTTTTGCATTGACACAGCGATTTAAAAATAACTACAATATTTTATATTTAAACTTTTGGCGAGCAACCTTTCTTACACTATATTGCCACCAAGGGGAGAGGCACAACGGAGCATACGCGTCAGTTTTCCTGCAAGAACGACGGTCGCTTCCCGCAATTCTTGGACAGAAAATGGCGTACCATAATACAACCATTTCGATTCACAAGATTACCAGAGACCTCCGCACTTCCCCGTGCCCCGTTGTTCGGCAGCGCCATGAGTTGCAGAGTGAATTTGACGATAGTATGAAATGCGGGACGCTTTGAAGATTTTGGAATTTCTGGCGGGACGCCGGACACGATCCCTCAATGCGGGACAGTCCCGCGAGTCGCGGGACGGGTGGTCACCCTAGCCATCAGCCCGTAGCGTCGGCTGCGTCTGGGTTTAAGGTAAAACGAAGTATAAAAACACGAAGAAAACAAAATGTAAGTACTTTTTCCAGGTCTTGGGATGAGTATGTACCGAATTACGTAACTCCGTTACTAGAAATAAGTAACGTAAGTGCGTTACCCGTTACTCTTTTGAAAATGTAAAGAGTACGTTACTAAAAAAAAAAGTAACGCGGCACCGGTAACGCTGTTACTTGTAACACGTTACCGCTAACACTACCTGAAAGGTTAAAAAAAGAAAGAAGAGCACGCGAAATTCTTACTCACGAAAAAAAGAAAAACTGAACATACCATCTTCCTTTGGCCAGACAACACAAAACATTGTGTGCTCGCGAACAGTACTCCCGCGTGCTCGCGAAAGCAGATGGAAAGCGACCCATTTTTTTTCCTTTCATCCCATCCCCATCGGCAGTCGCGATTGCAGTGGCCAGACAGACCCGTATGAAAATACTTGTTTTTATCTTCCCACATCCCCCCGAGGCGCTTCCATCCTCTTCTGTCAACTGAACATGCAGACGAATTGTTTGCACAGGCAGCGGGACATATTCGGTCTAGCAGTCGCGAGAGCAGACGCCATTCCGCGCGCCATTATGCGGGGGAGCACGAGTGGCGCCACCGTCGCTACTGCCCGAGGCGGTACACATCGATGCGGCGAAAGTGTTGACATACACTCCGAGAGGCAGCGAATAAATATATAATGGCCCGGGGAAGCCCCGATTATCTGCATTCCCCGAGGAACGAGTTAGCGAGCGAGATCGCTGTTTGCACTGCCGTTCTCTCGTCATCGCTGCGAGCTTCACGTCGCGGCCGTTGGAGGACTGGGGAGGGGACGGATGAAAGCGGCGGTGTTTGCGCAGCCAAGAGTCTTTTAGAGACGTCCGTGGGTTTCGCCGCCGCTTATTAATGGGAAGAAAAAAAGGAGGCGCGTAGAGGTGATTGGAATAACCTGCGTGTCTCTTTTGTCGGGAGGGGCGACGAGAAGTTCTTTTAGGTTCGCCGGTGCGAGAGATGGCATGCCGCAGTCGAGCTACGCAGCAGCGCGGCGATGGCATTTTGGCGGGCTCGATGTTCGGCTGTGGAGATCGGCCCACCGTTAGGGTTAAGGCGATGCAGGTCGGATTTCCGGGAACAGGTACTCAAATTGACGTCGAGGAGAAGCGAAACATAACACGAAAGTATCCCTTTTATTGTAAAATTTACCCCCTTGTGTATAAAACTATCAGGAGCTTGCATCTTGGTGGCAGTCTTCGTCTTCTGAAGATTCTTCACCGGGTTTCTGTTCACAAAAGAAGGTCGGTTGAATTAGAGATCACACGGTTAGAGTACTGGTCATTCGCACACACAAGGTTATCAGTGTCCTGACCTAAAAAGCAATGTTTAACTGATCTAGTGTACAATAGCATAATCATCAAACCATAAAAATCTGCGCAAAAGACAAACAATCGACATGTCACGAGGATAATTCAATTTTAATCGTGATACGTAATTTCCTGAAATCGTGCTAAATATGCAAAAGGGCGGCAGGGAGTTAACCTCTCTCTCTCTCTCTCTCTTTTTTTAATGACTAGATTAGATTAAAAAAAAATCTTTAAGAATAACATTATCAGCTAGGGCAGACGCCAGGGCACGAGTGTGACGCGATAATTTACGAGATAATTACCTCCAATTTTCTCATTAACTTTCTGTATATTGATTATAGCTGCCACACACAATGAAAATGAGGGTCGAAAGAGCAAAAAACCTGTGGAAGAAGAAACGTCGCAGTGTGACTAGAAGCACAACTTTTCTTCTAAGATATAAGCGCCTGACATTTTTTGACAACGGGCTGTGCATCCAAAATCGAGGTGTGTCACTTAAAATTAATAATTTAAAAGCTAATCAGTAGTGTTGTGCGAATATTCGAAAAATACATTATTCGATATTTGCTTTGATATTCGTATCGCTCGAAGTGATGATCGCGGCAGGTTAGCCCCGTTGAGCGCGCTTCTCACCGAGCATGGGTGCACTGCGGAGAAGCAACCTTCCGCGGGTGTTGCTTCTCCGCAGTACACTGGTGCTCGATAAGAAGCCCACTGAGCGGGGTAACCTGCCACGATCAACACTTCGAAAGATACGAATATCGAAATTGTGTGCTCGGGAGAAAAGCGCACATTCAAAGCGGCATGGTGCGCGCGTACGCTTGGTGTATTAAAAAAAAAAAAAGGATACTTTTTCATAAATATAGTTGGATTAAAATTAGCTTATAATTATGGAAGCTTGGGAAATACCTTCATGAGTATAGCTGGGTTTTCGTTTAAGCATGGTGCAACAGTAATGAAAGGCTCGAAGTTCGATAGAAAAATATTCGGTCAAGCCACCATTCGTTTTGAACTCAAAATCCACTAATCGCCCCTTGGCTACTAATTCATTTAATTTTATTATTACGTAACATTCTGGTCTTGGTGTCCGCACCTTCCAACAACGTTATCCCGAAGAAACGTTAGTATGAGGGAAATGATTTTGTTATCTCCAGATTTCTGCTTGTAATGAAAATTATTCGGCGTAAAAAAAAAAAAAAAAAAAAAAAAAAAAACATTGCCAGAACACTAAACCGCCCGACCGTAAGAAAAGAAAAAAGGTAAAGAAGCAGGTTGCCAAGGTGAAAAGCTAGCGTGCCCAGATTTTAGAGCGTTCCCAACTGCTCGGTACGGGTCACGTGATCTGTGGTATGCGTTTGCACTACAGGTGACGAAAGCGTCGATTGTCTGCAAGCGTCTCACTCTCTCCGCCCCCTTTCCTCCTCGTCAAGCAACGATGCAACGCATGCACACTTCAACCAATCGGCATAAAGTGTCCGCCATTGAATTGCAAACGCTCGTCGTGGTTCTAGTTGTTTCCTCTCTTGAATGTAGGGTTTCTACAAAACAAAAGCGATGAAGCAGCGCCAGAAAAATGAAAACAAACAAAGAGCTTTGGAGGGGCCCAGTGCAAAACCTAGACAAGCATGCAGCATCCTACAACAGTACCTACCAACAGTGGAAACACGATTATACAACTTTCAAGGCACCGCGCAACAAAACCATCCGAGAATCGCATAATCCAAAAACTGATGATTACTACTGCGGTGCACCAGACAAATATGCATAACTTCTATAATTTCTTTTAGACATCTACTGAACTCTGTGGAAGCCTCAACTAAATGAAGACAACATTAAAAGATTCTGCGGTACCCCCATAAAGCTGCCAACAAAACTTATTTTCACCTTGCGTCGTTTTAAAGAAATAAAAACCGCATCTCGACGTGGTGAATGATGTTGATTGGGGCAAAGCTCCGGTGGTGCTTGCCTGCGTAGACGCTGAGCCGCAACATGCCGAGCCTTTCGTTCGTTTTCATCCATGTCACGCTGCGGTCAAATGCTCAAATCCGTATATAACCACGTTCCACACCACACATCCTCTTTCTGACATGGATGAAAACGAACGAAAGGCTCGGCATGCTGCGGCTCACCATCTACGCAGACAAGCACCACCAGAGCTTCGCCCCAATCAACATCATTCACCACGTGGAGATGCGTTTTTTTTTCCCTACACGAGCACGGGAGCAAGTGCTCACGTGAGCGCGTGAGCTCACGAGCAGGAGCACGTGCACCCGACGGCGGACGGACATACGGACATGGCTAGCCCCTAAGGAGCTTCGCCCCTAAAATAAGGTCGCTGACCGATTTTTCGGACTTGTTGCATATTTGAGACCTAAAAGAGAAACCGTGACCTACCCAATAGAAATAGTGCATATCCACGACCGATGTTTCGGACCGCTTAAAGTCAGAAAGTTTGATTTTTCGGACAAAATCGTCGCGAGCGATTAGCGGGAAGGGAGGCACTCACTTGATCGAATGACGTTTTAGCGAACGCCCACGATACCGAACGACACTTTAGCGAATAGTCGGACGCCGCGAAGCTGCGTTTTCGGGTGGGCCCAAGTGGGTTCATATTTTTGTAATGAGCCGCCGCAGACTGTCGCCGCGAAGCGGCGTAAAGTGCGAAACACATGTACGACGAAACCGTCCGATCCGACGTCCGACGACGGTCGGAGGCGAGGGTTTTTAACGCTCTCCGATGCTACGAAAACCCTCTCCCCCCCAAGGTCATTCCGGCAGTCCGCACGTCGGAACGGAAGGTTTCGTCGTACATGTGTCTCGCCCTTAAAGCGCAGCGCGGCGGATGGGTTAACGCGCGCCCCCGTTATTCGCTAAAACGTCGATTCGCTCAAATGTCGCTGTTCGCTAAAACGTCATTCGCTCTTGTGATATGGGCCCCAGCGGGAAACACATGAATTGACTTAGTCTGGCAGTGTTATTTGTGAGCGTTTTTTTCTTCTAGCTGCGCGTCATTACCGTCATCATTGTTGCCATTTTTCTTTGTTCATTTGCCATTCTGCAGTCGTGGACTTGCGCCTCTCATCTCGTCTCAATAAACCGTGTTTTCGGACTACGCTGGCTTGGACGTCATAGCGCCAACTGTTATTCCCCCGCTGCGAAGTGTCGCTAAGAAACGTGGAAAGTACTCGACCATAACACTACGAAAGAAGCAGCGATTCTCGAGCTAATAGAAAGTTGCCGAACGCATGAGGCACAACCTGAAGCAAGGCACTATTGACAGCTATTTTAAGCCCGCATACACGTAATAAAGTCAAGTTTTTTCGTCTGCTGAATTTTTCGGACAGCTCTATGATTGGCACGTTTTTACGGTCCCTGCGAAGTCCAAAAATTGGTTGGCAACTTAGCTTCCTTTTCAGGGCCTGAAATCCTTGGAAGCAGGATAGCTACACAGTCGTCTGCTATCAGAACAGAAGTACTTCTTCATGCGTTAACACACACATCAAAGTCTGCGACATTGTTCTCTTTGTCCGAAATGACACCAATAGGCTCTATCTCTTCTTCTAGAGCTTCATCGAGGGACAATGTGTTCCAGATAGTGACACTGCTGCTGACATAGCCTGTGAAAGTTAGGAGTTTCCAAGCACGAAATTTTGTCCAGTCGAGGTTACAGTAAGTTAACGGCAGTAGAATCAACTTGCGATAGTGTCCTTGGTAATTACGTCCCGCAAATTGAAGACATAGATCATGGCGCCCAGTACAGAAACCCTTCTCTGGTACTCATCGCATTGCAATGCCAACAACTGATTTTATATTGAGGCATCTTTTGGCCACTTTGACGACACATATGAGATTTAGCATAAAGCTGTTGGAGTCGGCTCCGAGAGTTAGCTTAATGTTACTTAAGCTTGACTTAATTGATGTACCACTATAACCTACTTTTGAATTTAGGTGCTGTAAAAAAGTGAGAAACGCAAAAGTGCTCTTTAAGCATTTATGTTAAGATTATAACGGGAGGGCAGTTCCTTTAGGTTTCTGAAGCATTCTGGTTTTTGCACTTCCCAATGACAAGAGGACCCTTTTTGTGCCATCCTCATTTCTACAGAACAGCACGGTCAGACAAACCCAATTTTACTTGCCACCATGAAGACAAATGTCACCTTCAGGCTCCACGTCACAGAAAATTCCGGTTTCATCAGAACTGAATACGTTGGGGGGGGGGGGGGGGGGGGGGGGGAGGGGGCGGGGGGGGAGGGGGGTGCTTACGTTTTACGATGAAACCCATTCACCGACAGCTGAAGTGTCTGTGAAAGAGCTTTCCCCATGCGTCAATGGACCTTTTTCCAGTAACGAGCGCTGTCTGCAGAGTTGTCTTCGAACTACAAATGAAGGGCAGCCCAACTTGCCTCCGTCTGTCAGAATACACTGGCATTGTGCCGTTGTATTGATCTCCGTTGCTTTTTATGACATAACTAGCACATACTGAAACAAGAATGGCCAAAAAAGACAAAATACGCTCAAAGATAGGTGCCCAATATGTTGGTCGACCGGAACTTTGCCCTGCGAAAATGGCGACGGCGGGAATCAACGCCAGGAGAGGGGTGTATGGATGCGCAGAAGCTTACTCAGGGGTGGAACTCATGAAATGTACTTGGGAGCAGCCATGGGAGCAGCTGAAACAGCTGTTTTGGAGCAGGTTGGGAGCAGCTAAAACTACGTTCTGGAGCAGGCTAGGAGCAGCTCAGACAAGCTTCATTGTGCTTCAGCTTGTGTCTTAGACAAGCATGGGAGCAATTTCAATCATGCTTAGCAGCACAGATGAACATGAGTGGTTATGGACCTTGGTAGATGGGATAACAGTGTAACAGATGCGAAAACTTGAAACTTTGTGAGCCTTAAAGGGGCAATGCAACAATTATTG